CTCGCCCCGCCCCGCCTTGCTGGGCCCACCCAGCCGAAGGGAATGGCCCCTCCGCCGCCGCCGCCGCACCCCCGCGGGCCTGGGGGTGAAGAACCGTGGGGGTGGAGGTCTGCTCTGCGATGGAGCGGGCCAAGTTAGGCTTATGTTTATGTAAAAGAGAAGCGCGCTCAGCACTCGCGCGGAGCCCTGTGGGGTCGGGGGTCGGGGTCGCCTGTAGAGGGATGTAGGATGTGCCACAGCTGTATTCTCAATCAGCGCGTTCGTAATTAATTTATGTGTATACTTTGGCTCGCTAACATTTTCTAGCTGGAAGCCCAGACCGGCGTTCCACGCCGACGTGGTTTGTGTTGTTTCTGAAGCCCCGCGCTCTCTGTCTGCAGGTCCTGGTGACGCAGCGCGCCGAGAAGGCGGGACTGGGCGCGGACAACGCCTTCAGCGCCGGGCCAGCGCCGCAACCCAAGCAGCGCGCCGACAGGTGGCAGCGGGCGCGCGAGCGCTACGGCCAGCTGCCCGACACGGTGGACGACGACCTGGAGCTGGACGAGTAGCCGGAGGGACGGCCGCGAGCGCCACGGCCAGCTGACCGACACGGTGGACGACGACCTGGAGCTGGACGAGTAGCCGGGGGGACGCCTGCGCGGTAGGCAGCGCCGCCGCGCACGCCCGCGCGAGGTGGCCTACCCCCCGGGCGCCCGGCGGCGGGGCAGGCCGCCCGCCGCACGCGGCTGCGCGAGGCCGGCCCCGGCTGCCTGCCCCGCCGGCCGGGGTCCGGCCCGACCGTGATTGCCTTCCCCGGCCAGAGGCCCGGCGTGGCGTGCCCGGATACCAGGCATCGCTCAGCGTCGCGGCCATTCCCTGCTAATTGAATCGAGAGGGCCCACGTGGACACGCCAAGACGAGTGTTCGGAGCGCAGTCGTCGTCGTCGCCCCCCCCCCCCTTTTTCGTCGGCATCCCACCGGCTGAGGGGGCCACCCATCGCGGGCCGGCATGTCGCCGCCTCGCCGCGCCAGCGCGCCACACTGCCCCCCGGTCAAACGCCATGTTTTCCACCTGCGATAGTCGCAGGTTTTGTTTCACTAGACCACGGGGGGCTGTTGTGTCTCTCTAGGCGGCGGGGTCGCGTAGCGGAACGCACTGTAGTACCCGGGCGAGCGCGCGCGAGCCACCGCACCACGGCACGGCACGGCACGGCGGCGCGTAGCTGCATTGCTTTGTGCTCGCGGGCTGCACGCCGCGCCACGCCGTGGAGACCGAGCTGGTTGCAGTCGGCGCGGGGGCATTCCACATGGGGGCCTGCCCGGCCGGCGCCATGCCCGGCCCTATGCGGCGGTGCCCTCCGCAGCCTCAAGCTGCCCGCCTTGGTGGTCTCCTCCCCTGTTCCTCCCGGTTTCCTTTCTTATCCTCCCCCCTCCCCCTCTCCCTCTTACGCCCCGCAATTATTTCCCTGCTCGTCGTCAACTGTTCTACTGCATTCTAGTGCCTGTACCGTATCGCAACGACGTAACTATTATTATTATTGTTTCTAATATAGTCTGCACCAAGGATGTTCGTTTTTATCTTTAAAAAAATCAATTGTGGGCGATGTG